GCGGCACATCGCCGCTGCGCGCGCACACAGCATGGGCGAGACGCGGGCGCTTGTGAAGGCGAGCGACCTGGAGCACGAGTTAGAGCGCACGCAGAACGCTGCCGAAGACGCGGAGCGGGCTTTACAGGCGATGAAAGTCAAGTACGACAAGATGAAGCGGCACTGTCGCTCCGTCGAAGCCAGGTATGTGCCTCCAGCCCTCTCAAAAGTGCTCGCGCATTGACTCCATCGCAGTCGGAAAGATAATAGCGCTGGCGAGGGCTCTTTGTTTGCAGGAAAGCGCAACAGCTCTGTGGTCGACCTCTCGCTCGACGAGGCCGTGTCGCCCAAACGGCTGCGCATCATCCGCCCCCTCCCTCGATCCCGGCAAAGTCTGAGCACCCCCGGCAAGCATATTCGATTCTTTCCTGAGGCGGGAGAGCCCTATCCACAGCACGGAGAGCAGTGCGACCTCGGCTCGCCCTTCCGCAGCTAAGGCCTGTCTCGTTCAGTGCTTGCATGTACATTCTGTAGGTATTAATTAACATATCATATTGCGTTGGGCGGGTGGGGCGGTCATGCTGGCGGTGGCTGCTCCGCGTCTGCGGCAGCAGGCGACGCAGCAGAACTCCCAGCGCTGCTCCTCAGCCGAACGTCGGCTAGGTTGTACTTGCGCGCCGAACTCAAAAAATGCTCGGGCGTCAGCCCGTTGCTGGGCATCCCGTGGAACACGCCGTTTTTCTGCGACTCGGGGACCCGCACCCGGCGCGAGACATACGGTTTCAGCTGCCATACCCGTATAGTGTGAGGATCGTTCAGGTGTAGAGTAAAATTTAGAGACGCACTGGGCAATTAAGGATGTCTTCGATGGGCGGGGCGACGAACACGCGGACTTTGGACCCGAGGAGGAGGTATCCGGGTCTTCTGTTGATATGTACACCAGGCGCACCAGTGCGGTGTCCACCAGGAAGGGCAGCCTGCCGATTGCCTGTCGCTCTTGCTCAGAAAACACCAGAAAAAGCAACATGGATTGTTGCAACAGACCCTTGTAAAAGTCCTTGTTGGCCATGAAGGCCTTCAGCGGCCTGCGGCCCTGGAATCGACTCCGCGCGACGCTTGTCGGGAACATGGAATTTCTGGTGTCACGCGTGTGTCACACGCTCCTCTACATCCTCCATGGGCAAGAAAAATTCGGGATCGCCGGCGACGGCTACCAGAGGCAAGCGAGGGCGCGGAGGGCGCGGCGGCTCGCGGCCCACGAACCACAGAGGAAAAGAACGAGACAACAGAGCCGATGGGCGACCTGAGAGTGCCGTCGATGAGGTCAGCGATGAGGAAGGCGACGACGCCAGCGGTTCGGACGAAGGTTGGTTATATCTGTGCCCCTCATTCTGTTCTCAATTTCTTGGTCCAGCCGAGGACGAAGTTAAAATTGAAGTCCCCGTCGCAATGTGGGCAAGTCATTCCCTAACTGAATATCGGAATGCAAAGACCGATACCCACACAGGACTTTGATCACTGCGACCCCCGTCGGTGCTCGGGGAAGAAACTATCCCGCCTAGGCCTGATAAAGGAGCTCAAAGTCGGCTCTCGCTTCAGAGGCATCGTCGTCTCGTGAGCATCCTATTCCCCATGTCCGTATTTCTCTCTCCTGCTTTGGATTAAACTCGACTCCGTCCTACGCGTCTTTCTCACCCCGCGTATCACAGACCGAAAGGAAAGCAGGTCATCAGCCCGTCGGACCGCGAGATCATCCTCAAGGGCGGCTTAGCCGTTGTCGAATGTTCCTGGGCCCGTCTCGATGATGTGCCGTTTGGCAAAATCGCCAGCCCGCATGAGCGGTTACGTGCGTCCTCTCCGCCCCCCGTTATTGGTGGCTCTGACGACAGACGACCTGCGCAGTCCCGTACCTCCTCGCGACGAACCCCACAAACTACGGAAAGCCATGGCGGCTAAATTGTGTCGAAGCGCTCGCCGCAGCATTCTACATCACGGGCTTCGACGCGTACGCGGACAAGCTTCTAAGCGGGTTCGGATGGGGCGGCTCGTTCTGGAAAGTCAATCGGTCAGTTCCGTCTACATCCAACACGGGAAATTTAAAGCTGATGGTGTGAATTTTGCGAAGCACGTTTCTAGAGCGGTACAAGACGTGCGGTACAGCCGAGGAGGTGAGCGCGATGCAGGAGCGCATCATGGACGACCTGGAGCGGAACTGGGAGGAGTCCCGAAGGGACAAAGGCAAAGGCACGCAGTGGGATGTCTTTTTCTGCCTTCTAGCGTCGTTGATATATGCAGTAGAACGCGGGCCTGATGACGAGGAAGACTTGCTGTTCGCCAACCCGAATCATCAAGCTGATTCTGGTGAAAGCGAAAGCGAGGGCGAGGGCGACGAATCGGCCTTGGACCAGGCGGGCGCCCTGGACGCGGAGGACGAAGTCGAAGTCGAAGCGCTTTCGCGTAATACCCAAGCGTTGGCAGTGGGCCCTGACTAGTGGACGCTCTAGTAGATGAGGGTGAGTGAGTCCTTTAGACGGGCAATTCGCCTCTGTCTATATCCTTTGGCTACCATCCGTGGCCATGTATAGGAACCTAACAGTTTGATAAACTCCACTGTACGCACGAGTTGTTGCAATAACCCTGCAATAATAGTCTGCTTTCGACATCTTTTTATGAAGTCTTATTTGTCTACGTCATATCCAGTTCACCGATTCGCATCTCGCACCGACTAGCGCACTTTTCCATCCAACTACATACTGCCTCGGCGGCGTTTCCTAGTTTAGTCCCGGTCTCCGCGGACAACTTGCTGCCGGCATGCCCGTATTTCTCCGCTCATAAATGGTATGCCGAGTGATATACCATCAGCAGTGACTACACCCCGGTCCCCGATACTCCAGAGCGAGCTTCCCCTTGGCTTCCCCTCTAACTTCTATCTCAGCCGTTCCATGGCCGTCATTTCAACACCAATAACGGCGCTCTTCGGGATTCGCCATCCCGTGTTTCTCGCCGGCATGGATACTGCTGCTGGGCCAGAACTCGCCGCTGCGGTCAGCAATGCAGGTGGGGAGGCGCGCAACTCCGGAGAAGATTAACGCGGCTCATCGTCAAACCAGGCGGGCTGGGCGTCATTGGCGGCTATGGGTACACACCCAAGGTCCTTCGCCAACAAGTAAGCACTGGGAAACGCGCTGACCTCTATTCACAGTCACGAGACTAATGAGGATCTCTGATTATCATTCAGATTCGGGCATTGAAGGCGGACTTGGTTGACAAGAACTTGCCTTTTGGCGTGGACTTATTGGTGCCCCAGGTCGGGGGGAGCGCCCGGAAAACAAATGTTGGCTGTCGAAATCCTTGAATTCCCTCCAAGACGTGCACTTACCTCACCCTAGTCGGACTACACCAAAGGACAGCTTCCCGAGCTAATTGAGGTCATCATCGAAGAGAAGGCCGCGCTTTTCGTGTGCGCCATTGGCGTCCCCCCGAGATACGCCGTGGATAAATTGCACAATGCCGGGATTCCCGTCAGCTCACTCTCCTGCTCTGCATAGTTTCCTGCGCAGTGTTAAATATGTGGGCAGGTAATGAACATGGTCGGGCATCCGAAGCACGTCCCAAAGGCGCTCGACGCTGGCGTCGATCTCATCTGCGCACAGGCCGCGGAAGGCGGCGGGCACACCGGCACCACCCCGGCGAGCATACTCATCCCCGCCTGCGTCGACGCTGTCAAGGGCCGTACCTCCCCCTTGACCAAGCAGCCGGTGTACGTGATCGGAGCGGGAGCCGTATACGACGGGCGGGGACTGGCAGCGAACTTGATGTGGGGCGCCCAAGCTGTTTGTAGGTCCCCTGCTCATCTCCGAAATCCCCGGGCACTAATACACGTTGCAGGGGTAGGCACGCGCTTTTTAGCGTCCGTCGAAGCGAGCGCGCCGAAGGCGCACAAGGATCACGTCCTCAGTGCGGGCTTCGACGACGTGGTGACGACCCTAATTTACAGCGGACGGCCGATGCGGGTTAAGCGGACACCTTACGTAGATGACTGGTCGGTTTTTCGATGATTCGAATGACGATGGTCTTTGACTTTTCCGCACAGGAACACGAATCGCCAGGCTGAAATCCAGGAACTTATGTCCAAGGGCATTCTCCCACACCAGCATGAAATCGAGAAGCATCCGGAAAAAACAGTCGAAGTTCTCGCTGGCCCATCGGTAGTGTGGCTGCTGTATGTGTCTTTTCTTTTCAATTGGAAGCATCCTCACATTTACTGCAGCTCATCCATGAAGTTTTGCCAGCAAAGGTAAGCATTGATTATTCCAATACTAAGATGCGTCTCAGCGCATTGTTGCAGGTGATCATCGATGATATGGTACGGGACGCAGCGAGGGTGTTAACTCACGGAGGATCCATTGTCAAGCAGGCGAAGCTTTAATCATCCACTTATCGTTTTGATGTTGCACAGCTTGGAACTTACCTGAATCTTACAAGATCTTATACTGAATCTAAGATATTGCCCTATGTTCTCATGTCAGAGTGGAGTCGGGGTTAGAACGGACCTTTCTTTAAGCGCAAGCAGCCGACATTATCTCAGCCGGTGCACGCCAAAGTGGAGTCAGCTTTCCAGGATGCAAACTATCGGGCCAAACAACCGCTTGTGTCCGAAATAGGAAGTTTGGGCGTTACGACCCGGGGAAGTCTACGAGTCCCATGCATGGCTTAATGGACGACTGAGCAGAAAGGAAAACTTACATCACAGCGACTCGGAAGCGTCCTCCAGTTTAGAGAGTATCGCCGATTCGTCTGGACTTGTTCCCGCCAGTGTTTGCGATACTATTTAAACGGTCTTCTTCGCGCTAGCGTTGGATGGTCACAATTATAACTAGAAATCTGTTCCTGACCGCAACCTCAGCGACTTCAGTAATAAGACTGACAGTAAAAATCAAAGGTTAATGGGAGTCATATATATAGGAATGGGTTCATTACCCGTGTCTGTGACCACGTCTAATGAAGCACAGTTCGCCAAGGGCACTGTGGCGGAGTGGTTAACGCGACAGATTAGAAATCTGTTCCTCTTGTAGGGCGCATGTTCGAATCATGCCAGTGTCGTTTCTTTTTGCTTTTTTGTCAAAAAAAAAAAAAAAAAAACTTCTGCTACATGCTGTCTGAGGCGGCGTAGAGTATTTCATTATATTCCTTGGCACTTATTTATGCGATCCATGGATGTTCTGCCATGCTAGAACGGGAAATAACCATAAAACCAAGGTAGCAACAGCGGTTGGCAAATTACGAGGCCAGTATCCCGACAGTGACAGAATGAGCAACTGCTCGATGAAGTAACGACATAAACAGGATCCGAGTCAGCAACAGCCCCAAAACTATTTACAAATTACATGAGGGGTGAGGCCCTGATATATACAGTACCCGAAAAAAGACAGGAACGTGCGCTGCTCGAGCGAGTTAGAGAGAGTTATTGTACACCGGGGGGCCCATCTTGCTCCGGATGGTCTTGCCATGGAACATGAGGTAGATGACGGGTAAGAAAGTGACGATGCCGATGAGAGACATGGTGACCGCCATCCAATGGTAGCCAATTTTGTCACCAAGGGGACTGTGGGATCCGGAAATTAGCATTGTCCGGGAAGAGGAAAAAGGATGCTCACATGGCCCAGAAGCCAGCTACGCGATGGGGAAAGGCAGGTCAAGTGAGGAAAGGACCCAATTGTGTTAGACGTACTGGTCATTCCAACGATCTGACGACCAAAGTTCATCACTTGAGCCATCTCAGAGGTCTGAGGTTTGTAGCAATCAGCGTTGTAGCTGTACAGAACGGTACTGATGATTCTGGAGAAAGTAGTCAGTGGGAAGTAAACGAAGGCTGGCAAACACTTCTTACTGAATCGCAAAACACATTATCCCGAAGCCCATTGTGGTCCGATGTATGGCGCTGCACAACCATTAGAGGCGGAAAACTAATCAGAGCTCTGAAACTCACTCTTGTATTGAATGCAGAAGCCCCAGACCAGCAATCCAATCTGTTGGCCGGTTAATTTCCGTCAGACATACATGTGATGAGCGCTTTACAGGTTGAAGGATAGCTCCGACCCAGATGCCCTGCAGTCTACGACGCTGTTAGTTAGAGTTCCGCCAGTGGAAGCACCCAGCATACCTGATTTCAGGAACGATATCACCGTCTTTCTTGCCCTTGCGACTGAGATACATCGAGCGGTCAACAACAATACCACCGAGCAGCTCGCCAAGGGTGGAACCAACGAGGGTACCGACACCGAGGGCGAGACCGGTTTGTGAGGCATGAATTTGTAAAGCCGGCGGAAGAGAGTCGCAGACGTTACAGCCGGAAGGATGGAGCTCAGAGTAAAAGTGATAGAATAGTACAGGGCGGTCAACACGACGGTCGGGTACTTGAACCTTGGGAGCGTTAGACTGATCGAACTGGCGCTGGAAAAACGAAACGAACATGATCATTGATGAAGGAAGTCGGAGGCCTTGAGGCGTTTGCCTTCTGGACGAAGACCCCAGAGTTTCATTCTGCGGAGGATCGGCTTGTCCGTGACGACTGGCGTCGATCCACGAAGATACAGCGTCTCCGGCAGGCAGAAAAAAACATGACAACAAACATGGTGAAGTCGAGTATCGCAGCAGATATGTAGCACCACCTAGAAAGCTATTTAAAAGGCATCGCGGTAATATCAAAGAACGTCGACTCCTGTAGCTGACGAACTGGCCCAAGTAGCCACCTACGACCACAGTCAGGGAACATTCCGGAAAGGGACGAGAAGGGATCTATACCTGGGATCGGTGCGATATGCGCCGAGTTCGTCAGGAAAACAGTGAAGATTCCCATAGCACGACCTCTGCGAAAGATATATGAGGGTCTTTACCTATGAAACCTGGTAAAAAATTACCTCTCATGGAGGGAAGAAGCAGTCGGAAACCATTCCTGCACCGAGTGTGAAAAAGGACGAAGTACCAAGTCCATTGAGAACCTGGAATCGGGATGGTCGTCTGTAAAGGCGGTAACATCGAGTTTTCACGAAACACTCACTCGGGTTGTCAATCAACTGAGACCAGGTAAGTCTTTACCGGACCCGAGGGATGATGCGGCAGCTATCAGGATTGTAAGAGAAGGACCGGGCGACGGCCATATTGTTTGCAAGCGGTACCCAAACAAAGGAACCGATGCCAGCGAAAGCTATCGCAATTGTGCTATAGGAGAGATGAGACCTTGAGCGAATTTTGAAGTAGACACCGACGTTTGGTAACTGTGGGAACGGATGAGATCTGAATGACGTTAAGATTGACACTCACCTGGCCACGACGGTAGTTACATGGAAGTGAGCCGCAAGGGGAACAAAAGCTGCGCATGTAAGTTGCCAAATTTTACGGCTGCTGGTAAGCTTACCAGGTGACCATAGCCTGATTTAATGGCCCGAGAAGGGCCAGAAAACTGACTTGAAGCAAGACGCAATTTTGAACCTTGGGGAAAGTTTAAAAGGATCGGACGCATCGTCTGAGGGTTGGGGAATGAGAGCAGGCCGGTTTTGTCGAGCTTCAAGCTCTGCTCGGGCTTGCCGAGGCTAACGTGTACGTCCTCTGCAAAACACATCCATAGATGCGCTGGAACATAAATAGAAAACCTACGCGACTCGAGTCTCCAGTAACAGAGACGGTGACTTATCTTCGACGCCCTTTCCAAGGATTGATCGTCGATGATGGCGGTTTCTCAGATTCCATCGTTGAGGAGGATGGGTTTATACGCCGACGCTTGGCTCTGGCGAAGAGGAAGAGAGAAGATGGACGTGGGATGGACGCAGAACCGCACGACCTTCTTCAAGAATGTATGACAACTGTTGTCAAGTCTACTTCCCGTGCGACTTGAAAAACAAATACGGCAAGAGTTAGTCGACGCTTGCAGGTTTGAGTTCCTGAAAACGATCGCTTCGCGCTTCAAGCAACTCCCAGTCGGTTGTTGAGTGGATATTTGCCATTGAACTCAAGAGTGGCCTTAAAGGTTTACGAGCATTGAGATGGGCGCCTGGTGGCTACTATTGGCGGCCCCGTTGTTACCGAAGCGAGAAAGAGGAGAGGAGGAACCGAT